CCATTTACCTGTTGGTGGGCATTTGGGTTATTTCTGATGTTTGGCTTTTGTGGGAAAGTTTCTAAGAGCATTATCTCTTTATTATTTTTGTTGTTGTTGTTGTGGTAAAATACATATAACACGAACTTGCCATTGTAGCCATTTCAAAATGTACAGTTCAGTGGCACTAATTAAATATTCTGCAAATATCACTATTTCCAAAATTTATTTTTATGACCTTAAATAGAAACTCAGTAACCAATAGCAATAATTCCCTCTTTTCCCCTCCCCTCAGCCCCTGTTAATCCTTCATCTAATTTCTATCCCTACAAATTTGCTTTTTATAGATATTTCATGTAAGTGGTATCATATGTATTATTTTGTATCTGGCTTATTTCATTTAGCTTAATTCTTTCAAGATTCGTCCATGTTGTTACCTGTATCAGAACTTTATTCCTTTCCATGGTTGAATCATATTCCATTGTATATATATATATATACCATATTTTGTTGATCCATTCATCTATCAATGGACACTTGGGTCATTCGCACTTTTGGCTATTTTGAATAATGTTTTGATGAACATTGATGAACAAGTGTCTCTTTGAATCTCTGTTTTCAGTTTTTTGGAGTATATATCTAGGAGTGTAGGTGCTGGGTCATGTTTCTGTGAACATTTTTGTAATAATCTTTGTATGTGCATATGTTTTCATTAGTGTGGGTAGACATTAGAGGTTATAGGGCATGTGTATCCTTAACTCTATGCAACGCTGTCAATCTACATTTAAAAAGTTCTTTTTATATTCTCACTGACAACTTTTGAAGTACCCGTTGCTCCACATCCTTATTAACACTTAGCATTGTTTGTCTTTTTCTCCCCCCACATATGACAAATATTTAATATGATTTTTAATATCTCAGTACATCCTTGCACAATGGATATTATTATTCATTTTTTAAAATTGGAGATGTAATTGACATATGACATATGTTTCAGGTTTACAACATAATGGTTTGATGTAATATAGATTGCAAAAATACTATGACCAGAAGCCTAGTTGTCATTCATCACCACATGTTATAATTTTTTTCTTTTGATGGGAACTTTTAAGATTTCTCTCAGCAGCTTTCAAATATACATATAGTATTATTAACTATAGTCACTGTGCTATGTGTTACACATCCAGGACTTGCTTTATAACTGGAAGCTTGTACTTTTTTACCACTCTCACCTATTTTGCCCTTTTCCCACATCGTGCCCTACACCCAGAAAAGGGCTCTGTTTCTATGAGTTCTGGTTTTTTGTTTTCTTTTGTTTGTTTCCTTTTTAGATTCCACACGTAAGCAAAGTCTTGTTACTTTAATTATAGCCATTTTGATACCATCATTTCATGGTAGTTTTAACATAGAATTCCCTCATGAGTTATTGTATTTAACACTTTTTCAAATATTTATTGGCTATTCTTCCTTTATGAAGTGACTGTTCGAATATTGTGCCCATTTAAAAGAGTCAGAGTGTTTTGCTATTATTATTGATACAGTACTTGCTGTGATAAAGAACCTATGAACAGACCCACATTTATACAGTCATTTGATTTCTGACCCAGATGTCAAAGCAATTCAACGGGAAAATAAAAATCTTTTCAACAAATTGATCTGAAGCAACAGAACTTCAACGCAGCTCATTTGAGGTGAATCACAGACCTAAATGTAGGAAACTATAAAACTCCTAGAAGAAACAAGAGGATATCTTCATGACATTGGGGAAATCAGAGATTTCTTGAAGAAGATTGACTTGCAGCGGGCTGGTCCATGGGACCCCACGACCACAAACAGATCGGACTTGTGGACTTGTGCTAGGTTCTTGTCACGTAGGACCCCAGGACCCCTTGTCCATACCCCTTAGCACCCCAGAAAAGGGTTTGTTGGACTATCTGATCTTACTGAGTTCCCCAAAGATATTTGTATATGTGTGTATTTACTGATATATAAGTTTAATGAATTCGGTAAAGAAAGACATGAGTCACCTTCTTGGGCTTTTCCCCCTTCATTAATGTGGTCTCCACACATACACCATGGTCTCTTCTCGTGGTTAGGAAAGAGGAGGCCTGTGGAGGGGAGCGGGGACAGCGACTGGCCTGGCGGCCAGATGGCAAGCAACTTTGGCCTAGAAACCTAGAGATAGGGCCAATGTGGAGTGAGGACGAACTTGGATTTTGGAGTTTGAGTTCAAATCCCCAGACTTACGTGGTTTGAGCTGTGTGTCCTTGGAGCATTCACTGGGCTTCTCTAGAGTCCCGGTTTCCTTATAGGAGGCGAACCCATTAGCTGACTATCTGGTCTCAGGGCACTTCTAGGAATCAAGGGTGGATCTGACAGCAGAGGCAACTCCGCCCTCAAGCACACCACACAAATGCAACACCTCAAACTCAGCTTTCACACACAAGCTCCATTTCCTAATTTTCCTGCTTCACCACTGGCCCCTCAGCCTTCAAATACTTAAAACTTTGGCCTCCTGTGTCCTCTGTCTCTTGTATCTGATTAGTTACAAAATCCCATCAATTTTTCCTTCAAAATACTGTTTAGCAAGAAGTCCTTCTGTAGCTGACACTGCTGTTACCTACCTAATTCCCCTGACTTCTCATCTGTCCTTCCTGGCAGAATCTCAGTTTTGTTCAAAGTCCAGCCAAAGGCATCCTTCTGTATAGCCCTTCACAGTTGCGGGTACCTGCTGGGACATACTGATGAGACAAGCTGAAGGTCTCTAGGAAATATTTGCTTTTTTAAAATATACATAAGTACCTCCGTTTCATGCTTCACTCTTCTAATTTTTCCACCTGGGCTGGGGCCCTAGGACCTGGAGGGGCTACAGTAGTCGTCTTGAGATTATGAGGCAACCAGTCTGAAGAAGGCATTCGTATCACTCACCCAGACTATTGCACTAGCTATTGAAGGGCTCTCCCCCTCTGCTCTGCAAGTGGAAACCTCATGAGTCCCAAAATTGAGGACTCCAGTTAGAGTTCATCCCTAAAATAGAATATGAGACAACCAATGGAAATGATGAAGGAAATCTAAATTTATTGACTGGGATGATGTTCATGATATCTTGTTAAATTTAAAAAGCTGTCCCAAAGCATTTTTTGTGATATATAACTTTATATAAACTATACTTATTTATAAATATATTCATTTAAATGTATAAATGGATATTTCTATAAATTTTTAATAATTAATTAAGTTCCAATGTATTGAGATATCAGACATGCAGCATTATATAATTTTAAGGTGTACAACATAATGATTTGACTTACATTCATCATGAAATGATCACAGTGGATTTAGTGAACACCCATCATCTCATAGAAATCAACATTAAATAGACAAAAAGTTTTCCTTGAAGTGAGAGCTCTTAGGATTTACTTTCTTTACAATTTTCACTTATAATATACCGCAGTGTTCATTATCTTTATCATATTATACATTATATCCCTAGTACTTACTTATCTTATAACTGGAAGTTTGTACCTTCTGACAACCACTTTCATCTAATCCTACCCCTTACCCTTCCACCCCAGCCTCTGGTAACCATTAATCCAACCTCTTTTTTCTAAGAGTTTGTTTTTAAAGTATCATTGACCGACAACAGTATGAATTTCCTGGTACACAACATAGAGAATCAATATTTCTATAAATTTAAAAATGATGACCACTATGAGTCTAGTTGTCATCTGTCAATATTCCTGTAAATCTGCTTGGTGAACTTGTAAGTGGTTTCATTTATTGTTTCTTACTTATATAATTAAAATTTGTTTCAATTAAAATAAAAGTAAGAGAGCCAAAGTGCTTAAAAATGCTTAAATCCCTTACTCCTTAATGTGGCATTCAGCGACTTCCACAATAGGCAAGAATAAAGGTGGTGTGTTTATGTGTGAATTTATGAGTATTTGAAAGTATGTGGTTGTGAATTAATATGTGAGTATGTGTGTGTGGGTATCTGGGAGTGTGAGTGGCTATGAGTGTGTGTGAATTTGTCAGTGCTTTGGAGAGTGTATGCCCCTGAGTTCCTGTAACTGTGTGTAAGTGTGTGACATGAGTTAGTGTGAGTGTGTCTGCTACCCTGGGATTGGGGTAATAAACCAGAAAGGATTCAAGGGGCCAGACAAACTATGGGATGCTCAGTTTAATTAGAATTTCAGGTAAACAACAAATATTTTTCAGTGTAAGTATATTCCATGCAATATTTGGGACATATGGATACTAAGAAATTAATTTTATCTAATATTCAAATTTAACTGGGTAGCCTGTATTTTTCTTACAGATGAGGGCCAATGGCCTTACAGATGACTATTCAGAGGCCCAGAAGTTGGGACCAGACTCCTGGCTGGGGCTCCCGTCCTTCCCACTGGCTCTCTCTGTCCATCAGACAGGTCACTGCCAGGCCGGGTGCTCTAAGGGAAAGGCCCAGCCTCCTTGGGGATGGTGAGAAGGCTGGCGTGGGTCTAGGGGACCCGAGGTGCCCAAGGAGCTCATGATCAGGGTCCATGAAGCCTGAGAATGCAGGGCTGGGAGGAGGTGCTGTCAGGATCTATCCTGAGGGCAGCTTTTTCTGCATCTGAATCATGTAGTGCTACATTGGCTTAAATGACTGGAAGGAGACCTGGGATATGAGGAGAAGGATGATGTAGCGACACCAGCCCAGACCTCTGGGGTGGGAGGAAGAGATAAGGCAGAGGGGCACGGATGCTCACCTGGCCAAGGGCTCTACCCGACCCCTCGGGAGTGGGGACTTCTCCCATTACCACATCAGGGCAGGGTGGGCATCATGGCGGCCAATGCTCTCCATCAACACCGGCTCAGCTCAGAAAGTCCTAGTACTGGGCAGGGGGGCTGGAGAGGGGTGTGTGGTAGCTCTGAGGTACACTCCTCCCCCCACTTCTCCACATACCGGCACCAGTGTTTGTGGTAAACCCAGTGACATGGGAGGTGGCCAACAAGAGGAAGAGGACCCTGTCTGGTCAGATTGCCAGGTTCCCGGCCTCTATAAAACAGGCTGTGGAGGGAGCCTGGGCAGCAGCCTCAACATGACCTCCTGGGCCGTCCTGCTCATCGCCTCAGTGCTCCTGGTCGCCCCAGGTGAGGACGCTCCCCTTGGGATAGATCCAGATGGCTCCTCCTCCCAGCCCTGCTTTCTCAGATTTGATGGACCCGAGCATGAGCTCCAAGGGCACCTGGCATGGGTCAGAGCAGCCCCAGGGCAGAGTAGGGTAGGAGGCCCCCGGGACCCCTCACAAGGCCGCCTCCCTCTCCTGGGCCCCAGCTGCCTCCTGGGCTCTCCCCAGCCAGGAGAAGTGACTTCTCTCCCTCTGTCTGTGGAGGGCTGCTGATGCTGTTTCTTCCCCAGGGCTGGCCTTTTCCGGTCTGACCCCTGAGCACCACGATCAGGCGACGGCCCATCTGTGTGAAGGAGACGAGTTGTGCCAGGGCCTGTCCCCGGAGGATCCCCAGGTACACGGATGGCTTCCTGCTGCCCACCCACCATCCCTCTCCTTCCTCTCCTCCCTGGGCAGTGCCAGGGGCAAGGGCCTGGAGACCGAACTGGCCAGGGGGTGGGGAGGCAGGGCTGGGAGCTGAAGATGCTGGTTTTGTGCACATTGGTACCTGACTGTGGGGTGGGGGCTACACTGGTGGCTGGGCCCTCCCCAAGAGCCTCCTCCTTGTCTGACGGTAGAACAGATATTGGGCTGGGAATGGTGCTGTGGGTGTGGGGGCAGGTCATGGGGCCTCTCAGCCCCTCTAAGACAGGCGGAGAGATGGGCGGGGGCCAGCCAGTCTGGCTCAGGTCCTCATATGGGCAGACAGATCATGGGTCATCCTACTGGCTTGAAAGCTCCCAGGGGACACTTCCTGGTGCCCTTATGAAGTTAGGGTATCTGAGAGCCCACCCTAAGGGGCTTCCTTTCCTAATAGGGTGACCTGGTGCTCCAAAGAGAGGAGCTGGGCCTACTCTGTGATAACTGTCGGAAGATAATACAACATCTGGAGGAAATGGTGGGAGATCAGCCTAATGAGGTGAGACGGGAGACTTCTGGAACCTGGCGGGTGGAGAGGTGCCCCCAAGTGGAGTGGGGAGGGCTGAGAAGCCCTTCGTAGGCTTTTTAAATGAGCTGGAAAGTGGGATGTACTTAGCTCTTAGTGAATACTTAGCAAGTGGATGTATCATCACCTGAACCATAGTTTCACTTTCCCTCCCTCCCTCTCCTTGGCTCCCCCAACCTGCTCAGCATCACCACCTTCACCTTCGGGTACTCAGATTTATCCCCTTCCATGGGAGATGTCAGAAGAAGATATTTCAAAAGCAATGGCCCAAGGCTCCACGCTTGGATCCCCTCCTAACCCACCACACCCCCCACCCCCAGCAGATGGAGCCCGCAGTCTGGCCCTGGACCCAGAAGCTATATAGGCAGAGCCTTTAAAGTGGGTCTGGGCACCACTCGCCACCCAGAAGACAGGGCTCGGGTATAGAGGAGCTAAGACATGGCAGGGTCAATCGTCCTTTCCAGAGCCCCTGCTGGCCAGGCTTGGGATGGAGAGGGGGGTTGAGCCTTGTCTCTCAAGTCCCTGCTCCCACTACCACCTGGCACCAACTCCCGGGACCCAGCACTCCCACTGTCAGACCCGCTGAGAGCCCAAGTCTGCCAGGGCCTGCAGAGAGGCAGCGCCCAGCAAGACTCACCTGAGGCCCGTTTCCCACCCTGGCGCTGCTGCTACAGAAAACCATCAGAGAGGCGGCCTCCAAGGTGTGCAGCAAGATGAAGTTGCTGAGTGGTGTGTGCAAGTCAATCATGAAGAGATTTCTCCGTGTCATCTCTCTGGACATCTTAGATGGAAAAAAGCCTCAGGCCATCTGTTTTGACATCAGGCTGTGCACAAGCAAGGCAGGTATGTGCAGAGGCAACAGCAGGGACTCATTCCCTGACAGCCTTCCTATGAAAGGGAAACTCCTAACAGCCTGAGGCAACCTTCCCCTGCCCTTCCCCACACTCCCGAAAACAATCCTGGAGTAAAATCAGGTCTCCATTTCTCCTCAGCTATGTGACCTTGGGCAAGTAACCTAACCTCTTTGAGCTTCAGTTTCCTTACCCATGGAAGGGCGATAATGATTTCTATTTCTGAGGTTGAAATGAGGATTGAATGAAAGCATCATGTAAGATGAGGTTGACACCAAGGAAATGGCCTGAGACTGAGATAGTGGAGAAATCAGAGCCCTGATCAACCTGTCTCTTCTCTCCACACTAGGTCTCATCTGATCCTTGGGTCCCCTGACCCCACCCTGGGGAAAAAGCACAGAAACTCCAGCATCCTCTGCCTGCTCTTCATTCCTGAATCCAGGAGTCTCCTCTCCAGTTTCTCTCACTGAACTCCTTCCACTGCCTTTCCCTCTCAGAATAAAATATCATGCAAGACTTTTGCTTCAGTTTCTTTTGCTTTGTTGGGTTTCAGAAGAGAGAGCACTCTCATCTGACTCATAAGTTCATTCAGTAAACATGTTGTAGGTCCACATGTGGTTCTAGATGCTACGGATTTAGTGGTGAACAAGACAACTCAGCAGCTCTCACACATGTGGTCATGAAATAATTATTGCATTGCATGTCACTCCAAGAACCTGGGGTACATCACAAATATACCCCCAGGAACTCTCAGACCAGGTGAAGAGACCATTTGGGTTAGGGTTTTGTTGTTGTTCAGTTGCTCAGACTTGTATGACTTTTTGTGACCCCATGAACTGTAGCCCACCAGGCTCCTCTATCTATGGGATTCTCCAGGCAAGAGTACTGGAGTGGCTTGTCATTCCCTCCTTCAGGGGATCTTCCTGACCCAGGGATGAAACCCGCGTCATCTGCGTTTCCTGCATTGCAGGTGGATTCTTTACCAATTAAACCACCAAGGAAGCTCCATATATATATATATGAATAGATAAAGATGTGGGCTATTATAAATAGTGCTATTGAACATTGGGGTACATGTTATATTTTCAAATTATAGTTGTCTTTTCTGGGTATATACTCAGAAGCAGGGCTGCTGGATTATATGGTTACTCTATTTTTAGTTTTTTAAGTAACCTCCTTACTGTTCAGCATAGTGGTTGTACCAATTTACATTCCCACTGACAGTGTAGGAGGGTTCCTTTTTCTCTATACCCTCTCTAGGATTTATTACTTGTAGACTTTCTGATGATGGCCATTCTGACCAGAGTGAGGTCAGATGGCCATCATAAAAACTACCTGAATGTAGTTTTGATTTGCATTTCTCTAATAATTAGTGATGTTGAGCATCTTTTTATGTTTCTGTTGGCCACCTGTCTGTCTTCTTTGGAGAAATGTCTACTTAGGTCTTCTGCTCATTTTTGATTTTTAAAAAAAAATTTTTTTATTGAGCTGTGTAAACTGTTTTTATGTCTTGTACATTCAGCCCTTGCTGTTGGTATGAGTTACAAATATTTTCTCCCACTCCATAGGTTATCTTTGCATTTTATGGTTTCTTTTGCTGTGCAAACAATTTAGAGTTTAATAGGTCCCATTTGCTTATTTTTGCTTTTGTTTCCATTACCCTAAGAGATGGATCCAAAAAACTACTGCTGCAAGTTTTGTCAAAGAGTGGCCTACATTTTCCTCTAGGAGTTTTATAGTATTTGATTTTGTATTTAGGTTTTGAATCCATTTAAGCTTATATATGACAAAATGAAAATGTTCATTCTTTTACATGTAGCTGTCCAGTTTTCCTGGCACCACTTGTTGAAGAGATTGTCTTTTCTTCATTGTGTATTCTTGCATGCTTCATTGTAGATTAATTGGCCATAAGTGTGTGGGTTGTCTATTGATGAAATCAATTTCCACATAATTTTTATTTATTTGTTTTTCCTAAAGTCTACGGTTTATTCAGATTTCCTATTTATTTTTGACTGCACTGGGTCTTCATTGTGTTTGGGTTTGGGGGTTTCTCTAGTCACAGCACGCAGGCTTTGTTGCCTCTTGGCATGTGGGATCTAAGTTTCCTGACCAGGGACTGAACCTACAACCTGACAGTGAAAGGGCTAAGTTCTAACCACTGGATCACCAGGAAATTCCCTATTCTTTCCTATTTCTTTATGTCTTGTGATTTTTTGTTGGAGACTGGTTATCTTAGATAATACATTATAGCAAACATGACTACTGGTCACACTTACCTCCCCAGGTATGTTACTGCCTTTTAGAGATGAATTGCTTGTTTTCATGTTTAGTGACTGACTGGGTAATTTTAGTGTGGTCCCTCCACCCCTCATAGTGTGATGTCTCAGATGTTGCACCTCAAGGGTACAGCCTTGAGCATGACCACAACTATCCTGTGATGACAGAAGTTTGGGAAGGGTTCTCTTTGTCTCAAAACACCTTGTTGTGAATCTCCAACATTTCTGGCTGACTGCTCTATTGTTTTCAACAATGTCCCAGGGGATAAATTGCTTTATGAAGCCCAGTCAAACCTAAGTCCTTCATGGGTCACTGATAGAGACTTTTTTCTGAACCAAGGGGGCCTCTTCACAGGTTTTTCTTTCTTTGCTTTCTCTCCAGCAAATTAGCCAGCTTACAGTTTAGCCTTATGTGTCCAAGGAAGTTATCACTCTCCTTCCAAATGTCTTTCACCACAACTTCCACTGTGGAATTCTGTTCCCAGAACAAATCTGAGGACTGCTGCAATAGTGAGTAGGTAACCTCTAGGCTTTCCTTGTGAGTTGAGTAAACACTTGAAATTCCACTCCTCCCTTCATCCAGGTGGCCTAACTTTGTCAAGTGAACTTGAAATGGAGCAAGACCTTATGGTCCTCGCCCCATCCCCACCGTGTCTTCTGCCTGCCTTTTGCCTGTGGAAAACTTTAGTCAAAGAATAAGTTTAATCAGAGAAGTGAGAAATGCTGAAACAAAGGAAAACAGCCAAAGGAGACTAAATAATAATGTAGCCATTAAGCATAGTCAAGGACTTTTAGTTCCTTCTCAAGGGCTGGAGATAATTTGGGGGCTTCCCTAGTAGCTCAGATGGTAAGGAATCACCTGCAATGAAAGAGACCACGGTTTGATTCCTGGGTTGGGAAGATCCCCTGCAGAAAGGATAGGCTACCAACTCCAGTGTTCTTGGGCTTCCCCGGTGGTTCAGACAGTAAAGAATCCACCTGCAATGCAGGAGACCTGGGTTCCATTCCTGGGTCAGGAAGATCCCCTGTAGAAGGGAATGGCAACCCACTACAGTATTCTTGCCTGGAGAATCCCATGGTCAGAGGAGCCTGGAGGGCTACAGTCCATGGGGTGGCAAAGAGTAGGACACAAAGAGTAGGTTAGTAGTGACTAACCTCAGCACAGCACAGCACATAGATAATATTCTGAACCATATCCTGTGAGCTGTCTTATAAATACTGAAACACCAGGTGGAGAAGTTAACATGATGAGCATACTGTACCCGAGACATGAGCTGTCACAATTCTGAGAACTGACCTCAAAGAAATGGGAACAAATGAACCCTGGAACTGAAGATTAACTGTACCTAAAACAATCAAGATGATGCTGGTCAGACCACTGGTGACCAGTTTAAAGATGACTGTTAGAGATGACTGTGCTGTTTCTGCATGTAGACCCACCTTGCCCACCCCTGTCTATGAAAGCTCTCACCCCTTGCTTATTGGGGGTGGGGGGTGGATTTGGCCTTTGGACAGATGTCTACCACCCTTGCCTCCTCCCCCCACCCCCCAGTTGCCAGCATCTAAAATAAAGCAAACTTCCTTTCAACCAACCTGGCCTGTTTATTGGCTTTTGAGTAGCTAGCAGCCAGACCCACCATACCCTTTCAGTAACAAATTCAGGCTTTCTGTGTTCTGATTGGAAGTTGCCACCTGGCAGATGGTCGCTGCTGCTGCTAAGTCACTTCAGTCGTGTCTGACTCTCTTCAACCCCATAGACAGCAGCCCACCAGGCTCTGCCATCCCTGGGATACCCCATGCAAGAACACTGGAGTGGGTTGCCATTTCCTTCTCCAATGCATGAAAGTGAAAAGTGAAAGTGAAGTCGCTCATTTGTGTTGGACTCTTCACAACCCCATGGACTGCAGCCTACCAGGCTCCTCCGTCCATGGGCTTCTCCAGGCAAGAGTACTGGAGTGGGTTGCCATTGCCTTCTCTGGCAGATGGTTAGGGCTAGCAAATTTTATAGGCTTCTTTTCTTTTTTGGTTAAGAGTCTTGGGCAGGACTTCCCTGGTGGTGCAGTGAATAAGAATCTGTCTGCCAATGCAGGGAATGTGGGTTCAATCCCTGGTCAGGGAAGATTCCACATGCCATGAGGCCAACTAAGCCTGTGAGCCACAGCTACTGAGCTGGTATGCTGCAACTACTGGAACCGGCAAGTCTAGAGCCTATGATCTGCAACAAGACAGGCACTACAATGAAAAACCCATGCACTTTAATGAAGAGTAGACCCTGCTTGCCACAACTAGAGAAAACCTGCATGCAGCCACAAAGAACCAGTGCAGCCAAAAATAAAATAAAATAAAAAGGAATCCTGGCCAGTTAACACTTGGTCTTTGAATCCCTCATGCAGAAGGGAAATAGGGAATTCTTTCTTCCTTAGCATGAGCTGGTGTATCAGCCAGATTCATTGATGGCAAGCAACAGAAATTGACTCAGGCTAAATTAAGGAAAGGGAAGTGATTGGGTAGCCATGGATGCCTCAGGTTGGAAGGGAAGACCTAGAACAGAACTTGGACAGGAGCTAGGCAGCTCAGAGGGTCCTCTGGAGCAGGGAGAGCACCTCAGTCTCACCCAGGTGCAGTCATTGGGGTGAATGAATTTCCACAATGAGCTTACTCTGTCCTTGTGTCTCCTGCTCCAAAGCTGAATTCCTAGGAAAGAAAATTCAACCAGCCAAGCTTAGATCAGATACTTGACTTTGATTGTTCTAAGGTGATGAAAAGGAAGTCATGCTCTAGGAGATCTGGGTGACTGTTCTGGCTTATGAAGTGGAGGATAGATTGCTAGATGAGTTACTGTCCACCGAGACAGTACACAGTAGTTGTCAGATAATTCCTCAAAGGAAATTAGAGTGATTATTAGGAAGGAAGAGTAGATGCTGTGTGACCAAAGTGTCAAATGTCCAGTCCAGCTTGTAATGATGGTGAGTGTTGCCTCTGCGTGTGTGTGCATTAAGTTGTTTCAATCAGGTCCGACTCTTTGAGACCCCATGGACTGTAGCCCTCCAGGCTCCTCTGTCCATGGGATTCTCCAGACAAGAATACTGGAGTGAGTTGCCAAGCCCTCTTCCAGGGGATCTTCCCAACCCAAGGATAAAACCTGCCTCACTTTATGTCTCCTGCATTGGCAGGCAGGTTCTTTACCACTGGCGCCACCTGGGAAGCCAGTACTGTCTCTGAGGCACTTCTGAATAGGAA